AGACATCCCCACAAGACGGCCGCGAACGGGACCGTGAAAACAACCTTGGCGGCTCCCCTTAGAGATGCTGAAACCAGCGCCCCGCCTGAGACATCCTCACAATCTGTTCGGATAGCCAAGGATGTTGGGACAGACAACAAGCAAACCGTTCGAGACATCTCCACAAAACGGCCGCGAACGGGACCGTGAAAACACCCCTGGCGGCTCCCCTAAGGGGGGCTGAAGCCATCGCCCCGCTTGAGACATCCTCACAATCCGCTATCCAAGCGATTGATGTTGGGCAGAAAACAAGTAAACCGCTTGAAACATCCCCACAAAACGGCCGCGAACGGGACCGTTCCATACCCTTCGGCGGCTCCCTTTTAGGGGTGTTGAAACCAGCGCCCCGCCTGAGACATCCTCGCAATCTGCTCTCCAAGCGAAGGATGCTGGGAAAGAAAACAGGCAAACCGCTTGAGACATCCCCACAAAACGGCCGCGAACGGGACCGTGAAAACAACATTGGCGGCTCCCCTTAGAGATGCTGAAACCAGCGCCCCGCCTGAGACATCCTCACAACCTGGTCGGATAGCCAAGGATGGTGGGACAGAAAACAAGCAAACCGCTTGAGACATCCCCACAAGACGGCCGCGAACGGGACCGTGAAAACACCCCTGGCGGCTCCCCTAAGGGGGGCTGAAGCCAGCGCCCCGCTTGAGACATCCTCACAATCTGCTGTGTGTGTGGGATAAATCCGACAATGAAAAGGTCTGAGTACGAGCAGGTCTGAGTATGAGTAAGTCTGAAAACAAGTCTGAGTATTAGTTAGTCTGGGCATGGGTGAGTCTCAGCATGAGTAACTCTGAGTAGGAGTAGGTATGAGTATGAGTACGTCTGTGTATGAGTAAATTTGTGCCTGAGTAAGTCTGGGTGTGAGTAAATCTGTGTGTGTGTGAGTAAGTCTGGGTATGAGGAGGAGGAGGAGGAGAAGGAGAAGATGGAGAAGAAGGAGTAGGAGGCGTCCAAGTCATAATAAGAACACCGTTTTAGGACATGGGGAAGACCATGCACAGTGGTCGTGGGGTGCCCGCGCATGATCCAGATTGCGCGTCGAAGTGCATGTTGTATATTGGTGTTGATAAGGATGCTAGCCCTGCGCGGAGCAGGACGTATGCGGGCACCCACACCGCCCCTGCCAAAGAACAAGACAAAGTGCTCGCGGCCTCCCCATCATGACCCAAGATGCTGCCCCTAAGTGAACTTCATATTGTTTTTGTTGACAGGGATGGTGGGGGGGGTCCTCATTGGTCCTGGTTGGCTGCTGGTCGCCTGGGAGGGGTGTTCACTAAGAGGGAACGGTGAGAAATCCTTCCCCGAAAGGGAAGAAAGGGGGTTGGAAGAGGAAACGTTCTAAACCACTCGCGCCCTAAAGGGCGAGTGGGGTTCATGGCCGTAGCCTGGCGGTCCGCATGCCGCCATGACCCCCTTGTTGGGGAGCTCCCCCGTAAGCAGACTCTCACCTTACTGCGATGTTGCTCCCAGCCCTCTTGCGTTGGGTTCGCATTTTTGGATAGAGCACCGAGGTCGCACACTTCTCCTCCTCCTCCCTCCTATGTCACCTCTGGCCTCTCACCTCCTCCTCTCTTGTTCTATCTGCCAGCCTGCCTCTTACCGCGCCACGTTACGTGACCTTGCCATCCTTGGGGGGCTGCGGCCTGCGAAACTGTCGCCACTTTCGACGGCTGCTGGAGTGGCCAGCGTGGTGGGCACCAAGCGCAGATCCAGACTTGACTTCGCAATCCCTGAGGGGCTGCGAGCTCCGAAACTGTCGCCACGTTTGAGGGCTGCGGGGGGGACCAGAACTAGTTGGTGCCAGGCGCAGATTCAGATTAGACTTCGCCATCCTTGGGGGCGGCGAACTGCGAAGCTGCCGGCACTTTCTACGGCTGTTGGGTGGGCCAGTGTAGTGGGTGACATGCGCAGATTCAGACTCGACCTCGCCATCCCTAGGGGGTCTTCGAACAGCGAACTTGTCGCCACTTTCGAGGGGTGCTGGGGAGGCCAGCATAGTGGGTGCCAGGCGCAGATTCAGATTTGACCTCACCAGGGATGGGGGCTGCGAACAGCGAAATTGCCGCCTTGTTCGAGGGGTGCTGGGGGGGGGCAGCATAGTGGGTGCCATGCGCAGATTCAGACTAGAGGTCGCCATCCCTGGGCGGCTGCGAATTGCGAAACCGCCGCCACGTTCCAGGGTTGCGGGGAGTGGGGGGCGGAGCAGCATGCAAGGGTGCCAGGCGCAGATACAGATTTGACCTCACCGTCCCTGGGTGCTGCGAGCTGCGAAGCCGCCGCTGCTTTCGAGGGCTGCTGGGGGACAGCATAGTGGTCACCAGGCACAGATTCAGACTAGACCTCGCCAGCCCTGGGGGGCTGCGAACAGCGAAATTGTCGCCTGATTTCGAGGGGTGCTGGGGGGGCAGCATAGTGGGTGCCAGGCGTAGACTCTGGTTAGACCTCGCCATCCCTGGGTGGCTGCGAAGTGCGAGCATGTCATGTCGCCAGGTTCGAGGGCTGTTGAAAGGGGGGAGCATGGTGGGTGCCAGGCGCAGATCCAGATCAGACCTCACCATCCCTGGGTGGCTGCGAACTGCGAAACCGTCATCACTTTCGAGGGCTGTTGGGGGTGCCAGCATAGAGGGTACCAGGCGCGCGTAGTGGGTACCAGGCGCAGATTGAGATTGGACGAGGAGGAGGAGGAGGAGGAGGAGGAGACGGAAGAGGAGGAGGAGGAGGAGGAGGAGGAGGAGGAGGAGGAGGACACCTGTGCATAACGAAGCACACCGCACGTTTGTTGAAGAGACCTGGGTGGGCGCCCTTCACGCACGCGTCCTCGGGCCACCTTTTCCCTTGCGCGTTCCCCCTCCACATTGCTCGGTGCCATGCATCTAGGTCTCGTCAGGGGAAATCTGACAGGATTAACCGGCGTTCCAAGGCTACATTTGCATCCTTGCCCCTTCGGCCAGCCTCGTTCGAAAAAACGACAGCATGGCCTTCCGAGGCCCTGCTACCCGTACCGCGCATCCTTCTTCTACGGGCTGATTGCAGCATACCACGCTTCCCCTGGCCGTCTGTCGAGCGAGGTGGTGGCCGCGGCACACCTCGAGGGGTGCTGGGCGCCAGCATTCCAGGTCAGCCGATGACCCTCCTCCAAAAGGCGCCTCGCTCCTCCTGCACCAGGGAGAGGCGCGTTTCATCGACGGGGAACTCGACGAACCAGGGGGGAGGAGGAGCTGAAGGAGGAGGAGGAGGAGGACGAGAAGAAGGAGGAGGAAGAGGAAGAGGAAGAGGAATGGAGTGGAGTGGAGTGGAGTGGAGCGGAGTGGAGTGGAGTGGAGTGGAGTGAACCCCGTCGCGATGCGAGTAACATGATCACCTCTACACACTAAATGTGCCTGCTGTCCCCCCCCGCCTGCCGCGAAAAAACGGAGAATCTCCGAGACGAAGGAAAACGTGGGGCGTTCATGATCACAGGTCCCTCTTCACACCACGGAGCTCCTCTGAGACGACGTAAAACACATGGGTTTTGTTTTACAGTTTTTTTTCAGGTCCCTCTGCACATCACGGAAAATTGTGCGGTAAAGCGCAACATGCACTTATAGAACACACACACACACCTGCTACGACCAAGAGCTTTACTGTGTTGAGTGCTGCCCGACCGGAGTATACGAGTAATATCTCCTGACGCCGCTGGAAACCAGCGGCTGGCCGAACGGTTGAACAGGATCCACCTGAGCTTTATTGCCGAGCCACTATCCACCCACCAAAGGCGTTCAGTACATTCACAACAGCCGCCCGCGCCAGGCCACGCGGGGAATGAAATCCGACTACTAACGCAATGACCAGTGTGAGTTGTGTGCCACCACGGCGACCGCCCTCAGAAGTAGCGACATCAGCCCTTGAAGCACAGCGATGCGAGCCAGACAATGAAACCATCAACATTTGAGATACACGGCGGCGAAGGACGCAGATTGGTGACAAAGTCGTAATTGTATTAAAGAAAGCACCAATCCCAAAGAACCCATATAATTAAATTTGCGCAGGCCAGGCTTGGCCAATTCCCGAAAGTGTGGTCTTGCGCTGGCCAGGCTCAGCCAATAACCAGGTACTTGCAGCTAGAGTCTTCAACAAAAAAACATAATCAGCACGTGTGGGACAAGGTACAACAGATTCAGCAACCAGCCGAACACCCGCATGTGGGCCACGATGAATTAATTCCCTCGGTCTTAGCCAACCTGGCGAATACAGTAAGCCAGCGAGAACGATGGACGTTGCACGGCTTCCCCAGGGTGCCACCGGCACGTCACGATGAGACGCCGGGGGCAGCTACATGCCGAGTTGGAGCCAAAAGAGATGTCTAGACCCCGCCCGGCGCTGCTTGTGCTTGACCTTTAAGCCAAGAGAGGGAGGAGGAGGAGGAGGAGGAGGAGGAGGAGGAGGAGGCGGAGGGAGGAGGAGGAGGAGGAGGCGAGGAGCGGCAGGGGCGGAAAAAACAAACGCGTGTAGACGGGTGCCGGCCGAAATGTCGGTCGATTGAACTCACAAATCGGATGCCCTGGTCGGCGCATTGGGGGAACGCCCTGGTTTCAGCCAGATCTGGGGCCCGCAGGGGGCGTCAAATCTCCGTGTTCCCTAGCCTCGCTCCTGCGAACAGCGCCGACGTCGATAATTTCGAGAGAGCGAGAGAGAGAGAGAGAGAGAGAGAGAGCGAGAGAGAGAGGGAGAGAGACAGAGAGAGAGAGAGAAAGAACAAAAGAGAACAAACAGACACAACTACCACAACAACAAAAACACATCAAGCAGACACCAAAACAATAGAACAGCAAAGAGATAGAGAGAGGGAGAGAGAGACAGTGCGTGCCAAGGGGAGGCAGGGAGACAGACGAGGACGGCCAGAGGCAGAGGGGCAGGAGGGGGACCGCCTGCGGCTGCAGCCGCCGTGCGGCCAGACAGCCGGCCCGCAGGAGATGCACGCGCGAGTGGCCGCGCTCCACTGCGAGCTGGAGCGCGCGACCGCCGCAGGCCGCCCCGCCCTCCCCCGCCGACCACGGGGGCAGACGCGGGCCGCCCGGGCCCCGCACCACGGGGAGCGGGCGGCCCGGGGATCCGCGGCGCCCCGAGGGGGGAAGGCGCCCCCCCGGAGGGCGTCGGGGCTCCTCGGAAGCCCTCCGTGGCCCCGTGGGAAGGCCTCCGTGGCCCTTGGAGCGGGGGGGGGGCTCGGAGAGCTCCATCCAAGGGCCAGAGACCTGCTGAGCCCTCTGGGAGGGCCCGCCTCATCCTCCTCCTTTTTTTCTCCTCCTCCTCCTCCTCCTGTCCCTCCTCCCTCCTCCTCCGCTCCACCTCCTCCTCCTCCTCCTCCTCCTCCTCCTCTCCTCCTCCTCCTCCTCCTCCCGCCTCCTTTCCCTCCTCTTTTCCTCCTCCCCCGCCTTCTGCTCCTCCCTCCTGCTCCTCCTTCTCCTCCTCCTCCTCCTCCGCTCTCCCCTCTCCTCCCTCCTCCTCCTCATCCTCCTCCTCCCCTCCTCCCTCCTCCTTCTCCTCCTCCTTTCTCCTCTCCTCCTCCTCCTTCTCCTTCTCCTCCTCATCATCCGCCTCCTCCTCCTCCTCCTCCTCCTCCTCCTCCTCCTTTCCCTCCTCGTTCTCCTCCTCATTCCCCACCTCCTCCTCATCCTTTCTCCTTTCTCCTTCCTCCTCCTCCTCATTCTCCTCCTCCTTCTCCTCCTCATTCTCGGCCTCCCCCGCCACGCGCCTGGGAAGGGTTGGGCTGGGAGACCTGTGGGGAGATGGCGATGATTCGGGCGATGATGGTACGCGCTGGTCGTTGGAAGTAGGGTGGGAAGCTGGTACGCACCATCTCGTTCCACAACGCGGCGCCGCACGTGCTTGCGAGCACGCGCCTACCGTGATCGTCTCCGGCACCACCGTGGACTACGAGTGGAGTGGGCGACTTGGTCCGAGCTCCACAACCACTCCTCGATCAGGGACCCGAGGAAGAAGTCGGACGACCTGCTCTCGCGGGCCACGCGGGGGCCCCACGGAGGCGCGAAGGGCCCTTTCCAAGGGGCGGCGGCCCCCGTCGGAAATACGGCACACGAGTGACGTCTCGCCCGCATCCGCAGTCGACCCTACTGCGGCGAGTAACCATGATTCACCGAGCGCGTTCCACTACTCGCAAGGTGCCTACTCGCAAACCTTCGGAAACAAAAACACATGCCTGCCTCGATGGAATTCATCGCAGGTCCCCCGCGGCGGATCCAGGCCATCTGCGAGTAGTCACTTTGCGAGTAGTCGCTCGTCTGGTGATCGCATTCGCTCCTCCGTCTCCTGCCAGGCAGGTTCACCAGCAGTCGGCACGACTGCACGAAGCTGAGCACCCCGGGACGCGCGAGAGCCTGGTGGCGACGGGCAGCCTCCACGTCACCTGCCTCGCCTGTGCGAGCTTCGCCGGAGCCCGCGCCTCGTCAGGTTCAACTGGGGGGAGCGGCCCTCGGGAAGGGAGGTACGGTGGGGGCGTTCGTGAAGGAATGTGCCCGGGGGGCTTCAGACCCTGGAGGGTTCTTTATCCAATGAGGGCGGCGGTGATATGCATGGCCGATCCACGATTGAAGTTCCGCTGGCTTCCAGACCCTGGATTCCTCATCCAATGGTTTCTTATCCAATGCCCTCACCGTATGCCTGGCTCGTGCTTGGCAGCGCTGGCCAATCGTCCTTGCCTTCACCTTGACCTTTCGCGTGGGGGTCAGGTTTGCCCGTGCCTTTCACATCGGCGTTCGTTCCTCGACCACGAAGCTCTTGCAGACTGAGTGCCCCATTGGAAGACAACCGTCTACGGATCCAGAAGCGTGCTAAATCACCATTCCTGGAAATTCTGCGCCACGAATCAACGTGACTGCTGCGTCCTGGCAATCTTAAACCGTGCCAGAACACTGGCCCTGGGATTTCAAGACCTCGGGTCAACGTGACTGCAGCGTCCAGACAACTTTAAATCGTGCCAGAACGCCGTTTCTGGAATTTCAACCGTACAAGCCTCAGTACTGTTGCAAAATGCTGAAACGAATGTGCGCGGTGATGAGACGAGAGCCACGTTCCGAAAAGTAGTTCACCGCCCTCCATTTTTGAAATTGTTGCAACGGCCCTAAGGCGAGAGCCACATTTTGAAAGCGGGCCGCCCTATATACTCGAATGTGCTGCAAATCTCCAGCTTCAGGATCGCCAGTGGTGAGGAAGCTTCTGGCGAAACGGTGGGCCCGCCCCGCCGAAACGTCTGGGGGCGCGGCAGGGAGGAGTTCTTTGCAAGGCAAAGAGATGGGGGAGGCAGGATGGGGACCCAGACATCTGGCCGCTCCAATGTTTTTGATGCGTGTGTCCCAGAGGTCTGGGCCACTTCCCCGGGGCCCGTTTTTTGTTCTGAGCCTTTTTTGACGCTCCCGAGGCCTTGGGAGGGCCACCATAGGCGGAAAACTGCCAACATCCCGTTGCTTCCATTTTTTTAGAGCGTCGGATCTCTTAGGAAAAAATGAAGGAGGCAGGAGGAGGAGGAGGAGGAGGAGGAGGAGGAGGAGGAAGAGGAGGAGGAGGAGGAGGAGGAGGAGGAAGCAGGCGCTTGCTGCTCCTGTAGCCTGTGCTGGCCCCCATCCCCTTCAGGCGCGCCGAGCGCTGCGCTGGGCGAGCCCGCGCGGGAAGCGCCGGAGACCTCGGAGGCGTTGGAGCTCTGCCGCCTGCTGGAGGAGGACGGGCGGGACCGCCCTGGCGGGGGCTGCGGGGGCCTCGGGGAGGGAGGGGGAGAAAGGAGGGAGGAGGGAGGAGGCAGGAGGGATGACGGAGGTGTTTTTTTGTTTTGCAATGCCGCCGCCAGCCCGCCCGCGCATCGTCCGCGCGGAGCCGTCGCGCGCGGCCGCGCGGCGAGACCGCGGCGCCCCACCCACGCGGGCGACGGGCGAGACCGCCCGCGCGGGACGGGGAAAAGGCCCCGCCCCACGGGCAGCGGGAAGCCCCAACCGAACGGAGCCGCCCCCACGAAGGGGGACGCCGAACGGACAGAGCCACCCGCACGCCCAAGGGGCAGGGCAAAAAAAGGGCCCGGACCCCGGGACCCACGAAACGACGACGACAACGACAACGACACGACACGACGGGGAGAAGGACCGCCAGTCCCGCCCCAAAGCGGCGAGTGCGGGGAGCGAGCTCCCGCACCGCCCATGGGGGAGGCCACGGGACCTGGCAGCCCCCCGGGAAGGAAAGCCCGGGCGCAGGGGCTTGGACCCCGAAGGCCCGGTGCTCCCCGCCTGCACCGGGGGGCGCTTTGGCCCGACACCCCGCTTATGGGGGTGCCCCTCCTGGGCGGAGGGAGGAGGGAGGAGGAAGGGCGGGAGGGAGGGAGGGAGGGAGGGAGGGAGGGAGGGAAAGGAGGAGGAGGAGGAGGATAGGATAATAACAATATGAAGAGGAAGAAGAAGAAGGAGAGAGGAGGGGACAGGAGGAGGAGAGGAGGAGGAGGAGGGAGGAGGACAAGGAGGAGGAGGAGGAGGAGGAGGAGGAGCGGGGCTCGCTGAATCGCTGACAGACCGTCGGCAGTCCAAAATATCATTTTTAAATAGCTTCTTCCAGTCTGCCAGGATAAGGCCGCGGCCCGCGGAAAGCCGGCGGCACGCGCTCGGAAGGAAGCGGGGAGGTAGGAGGGAGGAAGGAGGAGGAGGAGGAGGAGGAGGAGGAGGAAAAGGCTATTCTTTATTGAGGTGTGGCCCGACGGTGCGTGAGCGTTGCGGCGGGCATCGCGAAACAGAAATCAATACCCGCAGGCACCACCCCAGAGCGGCGGAAGCTGGGAGGAGCAGGAGGAGGAGGAGGAGGAGGAGGAGGAGGAGGAGGAGGAGGAGGAGGAGGAGGAGGAGGAGGAGTAAGAGGAGGAGAGGAGGAGGAGCTGGAGGAGGAGGGGGGGAGGAGGAAGAGGAGGAGGAGGAGGAGGAGGAGGAGAGGAGGAGGAGGGGAACTGGGAGGAGGGGAGGAGGAGGAGGAGGGGGGAGGAGGGGAGGAGGAGTAGGAGGAGGAGGAGGAGGAGAGGAGGGAGGAGGAGAGAGACAGGAGGAGGAGAGGAGCAGAGGAGGAGCAGGAGAGCAGGGAGCAGGAGGAGGGGGGGGAGGAGCGGGGTGGAGGCGGCACCTCTTCGTGCACCCTCGGGGCCCAGGAGGGCCGGCGGGGCCAGCCTCGCGGCGGCTGTGGGTGTGGGTGTGTGGGGGGGGGGGCGCGTGCCCCGCAGCTGCGCCCCTGGGTGGCTCCCTCGCCGTCGGAGGGGAGGCTGGTCGGGGGCGGGCCAGCCGAGACAACGAGGGCCGCCCCTGGCGCTCTTCGCAAGCGCGGGAGGAGCACCGAGCGCGCTCCGCTACTCGCAGAGTGCCTACTCGCAAACGTCCGAAAAGCACATTCTGTTTCGATGGAGTTGATCGTAGATCCCCCTCGGGGGATCCAGGCCATTCGCGAGTAATTACTGTGCGAGTAGTGGAACGCGCTCGTCTAGAGGAGGAGGGTCGCCCGCGACACCGCCGCCCCCGACCGCTCGTCGCCCTCCAGGCGAATCGTCGCAAGGAGTCGAACCGCGAGAGAGGGGAGGGCAGAAGGGCGGGAAGGAGTCAAGCCCCAGAGGGGATGGGAGGGCAGAAGAGAGCGGGGAGATAGGGCAGAAGGGAGGGGAGGGAGGGCAGAATGGAGGGAAGGGAGGGGAGGGGAGAGGGGGGAGGGAGGGGAGGGAGGGCAGAATGGATGGGGAGGGAGGGAGGGGGGGGAGAACGGAGGGGAGGGAGGGGAGGGGAATCGCAGGCAACGGCCGTCGCTCAGGACCACTCGTCGCCCTCCAGGCGGACGGCACAGCGATTCAATCTCCGGAGGGGATGAAGAACGGGGCTCCTCTCGCGCACCTCCGGGGCCCTACAGAGAAGCCCCGTGGGGCCAAAAGGGTGCACAAAAGGTGCACGGTGGAGGACGTGCAGGACCATCCTGGCCGTGGGCTGCGGGGGCCCTGCGGGCGTTGCGCAAGCGGGGGTGCGATGAGCGGGATGGGGGGGGTGAAGAAAGGTGCACCTTTCGTGCACCTTCGGGGCCCCGTACAGTCGGGGCCCTGAAGAAGGAACCCTTTTGGTTGGGGAGGGGCTCCGCGTTCCTTAAGTGTTTCGCAGCTTGCCTCAGGTTTCCCTTAGGTTTTCGATCGGAAATCGAAGTTTAACTTGGGGGGAAAACGGGCCTCGTTCCTTATTTGGGGTTCCTTAGGTCAACGCCCCGACTGTATGGTCGGGAACTTTGGCTTCGCTTGTCGCGCCGCCGATGCTGGCCCCTCGCGCTCCGGCGCGGCACTCCATCCACGGCCTGGCCCCTGGGCGTCCAATGCCAGGAGGGAAAAAAACACACAGACACAAGTAATCGTCGATTCCCCAGAAAATATGGGAAAATATGGGAAGTGGGGGCCAAGACAAGAACCCAGAACATATGGGAAAATACGGGGAATAGTTTTATGTGGGTGTATTTATTTGTGTGTGCCCTGGGGCCCCTTCACAATGTCCCGGGCTTTTTCCAGCCTCCCGTCCCGCAAAGCGGGGCGGCACGCTATCCGCTTGCAGGGTATAGCGTGTCGCCAGGGCCGCCGCCGCGGCACGCCGAGCAGGGTGTCCGACCCCCTGGGGGGCGTGCGGATGCCACGACTCCGTCTTCCGCTGCCCACGACGCCCACCCGCCCCCACTGGCCCGCGAGCATGCCTCGGGCCACGATTCGAGCGAAAGGGGGACGTACACTTTAGGCGATGCTCAAGAAAACTTAAGTTTTCGGCCAGAGTCTCGATTATTCTTAACGTTTCAGTGTAAATCTTAAGATTTTAATAGAAACGTTGGGTTTCTTATTCAGGTTCTGAGACTATGAATTTCTGAACCCATGATTTCTAAAGCATTTCGCAAGGCGTAGGCTCAGGGGGGCTCTGCTCGACGCCCTCACGGCCGCTCCTTCGCCAGCAGGGGCCCTAGGGCCCACCCCGCCCGGGAGAGCCTGCGGCCTCGCGGCCGGGGGCCTGTCGCCGGAGCTGTCGGCGATGCATCGCCGAGTCGAGCTCGAGGTGCCCCCCCCCCGAGCTGCCCCCCCCCTGTCGCCAAGTCGGGCATATCCCTCCACTGGAAGAAGATCCAAGAAGAGTAAAACAAGAGTGTGGCGACGATTGTTCATGCCTTCCCCCCCTCCGAGCTGTCCCCCCCCTGTCGCCAAGTCGGGCATATCCCTCCACTGGAAGAAGACCCAAGAAGAGTAAAACAAGAGTGTGGCGACGATTCTTCATGCCTTTCCCCCCCCCCCGAGCTGTCCCCCCCTGTCGTCAAGTCGGGCATATCCCTCCACTGGAAGAAGATCCAAGAAGAGTGAAACAGGAGTGTGGCGACGATTGTTCATGCCTTTCTGGCTGTTTGGGGTTCTCTTCATAGCTCCCAGCCCTCCTGCGTTGGGTTCTCGTTTGGAATAGAGCACGGCGGTCTCCGAGTCTCCTTCCTTCTGCCCACCTCCCTTCTCCTCTCCTCCCTTGTGCGCCCGGTGGCGTGCAAGTGGGGCCTGCGAAGTGTGAAGCTGACATGCCTTGGGAGCTCTGATCTGCGAAACTGTCGCCACTTTCGAAGGCTGCTGGGGGGACCAGCATAGTGGACACCCGCCGCAAATTCAGATTAGACTTCGCCACCTCGCCATTCCTGGGGGGGGCTGCGATCTGCGATACTGTCGCCACGTTCGAGGGCTGCTGGGGGGGCCAGCATAGTTGGTACCCGCCGCAGATACAGATTAGACCTCGCCATTCCTGGGGGGCTGCGATTTTCGAAACTGTCGCCACTTTCGAAGGCTGCTGGGGTGGACCAGCATTGTGGGTACCCGCCGCAGATTCAGATTAGACCTCGCCATTCCTGGGGGGGTGCGATTTTCGAAACTGTCGTCACTTTCGAAGGCTGCTGGGGTGGACCAGCATTGTGGGTACCCGCCGCAGGTTCAGATTAGACCTCGCCATCCCTGGGGGGGGGGCTGCGATCTGCGAAACTGTCTCCACTTTCGAGGGCTGCTGAGGGGGCTAGCATAGTGGGTACCCGCCGCAGATTCAGATTAGACCTCGCCATCCCTAGGGGGGGGCTGCGATCTGCAAAACTGCCGCCACTTTCGAGGGTTGCTGGGGGGGCCAGCGGAGTCGGGTCCCACCCAGATTCAGATTAGACCTCGCCATCCCTGGGGAGCTGCGATCTGCGAAACTGCAGCCACTCTCGAGGGCTCCTGGAAGTTCCAGCGGAATGGGGTCCCACCCAGACTCAGAGTAGACTCGCCATCGCTAGGGGGCTGCGATCTGCGAAACTGTCGCCAGTTTCGAGGGCTGTTGGGGGGTCCAGCGAGTGACGCCCTACGCAGATTCAGATTCGACCTCGCCATCCCTGGGGGGCTGCGATCTGCAAAACTATCGCCACTTTCGAGGGCTGCTGGGGGGGCCAGCGGAGCGAGGCACCGCCCAGACTCGGACTAGACCTCGCCATCCCTGGGGGGGGCTGCGATCTGCGAAACTGCCGCCACTTTCGAGGGCTGCCGAGCGGGCCAGCGGGGCGCTGTCGCGGGCCGCCCGCAGACCTGGCGGCGCGCTTTCGAGTGCCCAGCTCCCGTCGCATTGAAAAGTGGAGGGAGGGAGCAGGGAAGCTGGCGGGCGAGCTAGGCCTTGCTGCTTCTTGTTCCACGTATAAG